TTTTAGAGTTCCTCTTTTTTATTTCTTACTACGTATCTCGTCACGTTTATGAATATTTTTATAATCGTATTTTTAGGTAGATTGATTTCGAATGCTTCTATTATTTTTTGCATTTCTTTTGTAAAGACTGGAATGATGTATATGTCTTTTTTAAGCATCCTGTACATATTAGTTTGTAACAATTTATTACGGGAACCTCACCGCTGAACTTATACATCCACACAGTGGAGAAGTTAAAGTAGGTCACCTGGATAACTCGTTTATTTTTAAAGATAGAAAAGAATGTTTGTGACAGAAATTGTTTCGTTTATAGTATGACATTTGAAGGTCAGTAATTTTTATTTAACATACCGTTTTATTTACCCTCTAACGGAGTCATTATCCCTCTAACGATACAATGACCTATAGTTCAAGGTCAATCAAGAATATTAAAACAAATGCAATAATTCCAAAATTTATATTTCTACGTTTCAAATTAATTTTAATTCAGATTAATTTATTTTAATTTGTTACAGTGAAATATGGTCGATCGTTCGAGTGTTAAAATTGAATAATATTGCAAAATTTTCGATAACTTTCATCAATACGAATGCTCGGTTGTTCGTTAGTTTCTTCTCAATTTTTTTTTTAGAATTCATTTCCCCGTCTTCAGGATATCTCCCTTTCATTTTATTCACCTTTCCTCCGAGCTCCTTTCAGTTTCATCTAGTTCGAACCTCTTTCCGATCTCCGATCCAGCATCTGTGCCCTCCTTTCTTCTTACTTTTACTCAGCATCCCGTTTCCCTCGTGGTACCCGTCTCTCTTTCGGTGTTCCCGTTTCTGTTTGCTGTCCCGTTCGCTCTCTCGGCCCGATTCCGCGCTATAATATCGCTAGCTCGCTTCCGCTCGACCGGCCCACTTGTAACCCATTGAAACAACGACGATGTGCCGCCGATAGAGCACAGTGAAACTGTAGCGACACAGGCTAAACCGTATCCTTTCCTGCGGATGCAACGCGTATAGTCCGTATACATACCTAGACACATCGCATAGATTGCAAAGGGAACGATACGCCACCCACGCGAACACGTCAACTGCGAAAAGTCTAAAAATTTTTCACGACGAAAAAATCGAATGACGACACGCTTCCCTGAGAAGCAATCTCATTCGAGCAACCATCGCGTAACAATTTATTCGATACGAAATATTATCAAAATCTGGACGAAAGTTACAAGTAAGAGGGGATAATCAGTGGACTCTTATTATGTAAATTCTAAATGGAATTTATATATTTTCTAATTTAAGTTTCAGACACTTCCAGCGTGACCATCCACCTCATCTATCGTCTCTCCATTATTATTCCTTAAATCCTTTAATTTTCTAGTTTGGTGAATTTACAAAATCAAATAAGCGAGAGCATCGGATATACGAGCCATGAAACGTCTGCCCCTAACAATTGGACTCTAAAAAGCCATGGGTTTGAAATAGCTTGAAGATAGCAACAGTAACGTTCGTTTCTTTTCGGTGCAGCGTTGCATAAATAAATGTTAATCGGGTTAACGTCGAAATCGTTGGGAAAAGTCGCCGCGTTTCGTAGCGGATATCGTTACAGGGAGGGAATATTAAATGAAAAATGTCGACCGGCTGCTATTAACACGCTTCCGTTCGTGCATCCACTTGTACCCCATTGAAATAACAACGTGGCACCGAGATAATCGAGTAGGTTACGGTCCTACGCTACGTAGCGAAATTCTCGCCGAACAGAATCGAGGGAGACGCGAATCTACACCGACGATAACGTTCGAAACAACAGAGGGGGAGAGAAAAGAATTGTGCCGACGAAGGCACTCGAACGGCCTGATTCGTACTTCGGAACGCGGCTGTGTCCACTCTGTTGGCTCTGTTCGCTCGAATGTAATATCAGGACTCCTCGAAACGTCGACACGAGGAAAGAAAAGGAAAATACTTCCAACCAATAACGAGAATCGATTGTGGTTCCGTGAGGCGACGTCTCGATTTTCGAGGCTGTAGGGCAACATCACCTTCCGGTACCAACATCACGAACGCGGTGGAGTTGTTAGACTTGGAATTGTAGTCCACGACATGATTGCAAACCGCTGGGATTTTTAGCGTTTTTCAGAATCGATAATAGAACGATGATGCTTAAAATAAGATGTGATTCGTAAATTGAACATTTTTATTCCTCCCAACTTGGAGGATCCTCCTTAGAGCCCAATGAAACGCGAAATACTATGCTTTGTTAAAGACAATAATATAATAGTATACGATGAATGTGTATCGCTAGATGCATTAAATTCTGACTAACTTAAAATAAATAATTACAACAAAAATGTGTATAGCTGTGTGAGCTCTTTCACCGAAGCTTTATAATAGAAAGCTCAAATTGTACAATATAATGTACTTTTGCAAACTTTCAAACGGTTACTCGTGGATGGATAGATACTGAAACTGGGTCTATTTTAGTAGTCACTGTAGCCGTGGAACTGAATAGAAATTCATCTATTATTCCGTCTGTGCGAAAGCTGTCCGATTCCATGACATCGTGCATCGTTTCAGAGCTAACAGTTCTGTCGTTTTTCCGTCATCCAACGGCTTTAGCCGTTCCAAGAAGAAGATTTCTACCTTGAAGTGGAGCGTGAATAATAGCGTTTCACGGAGAAGTATGCTTCACGGTGCAGCGTGAAAATGCATCTAGGCGTAACCAAATCCTCGCGTCGCTTTCGATAATATTCCGCCGTGATACTGTGCAGTTTTCATTTATGCATATAGAAACGGGACGCACAGTTCAGAACACGTAAATGCTCCAACGTATGAAAAAGATCCGAACGATCGGATAATAAAAATTTCATACAAATCTTGCGTCACAGGGAGAAAATTTTATCATTTTCCCCCCCCCCAGTTTCACAATGTTCCGCGAAATGAAATTTAATTCAAAATGAAAGTTTCATCTTTCGCATGAAAATTGTATAATGTGGAAAAACAGTACACGCGAAAGGCCAGTCGAGGCTTTCGTGTTGAAACGTTTTAAAAATTCTGACAAAATTCAGAATATTATATCTGACGCCTAAAAAATGTATTACAATGATAACGTTAGTCACATTATTTATTTTCTTTGTGTATAAAAATGTCAAGAAAAAAGTGCAGAAGGTGAATTTTTCATTATTGTTAAGTCGTAAATATTATTTGTTAGCAATGTATGATTTATAGATTTCAAAAATGTATTATATAAATATCATTAAAGTAACCTGTGAGTAAATTATATGCGATTCTTTGTTTATTAAATTAAATAAATAAACAAAACAAGACGCACGTATGTAATGGATAGTGAATACTGGTTCGATAAAGAATTCTTAATCGAACGTAGAAAGAATTCTCCCCCTGCCCCCCAGTCATTTATCGCCATTCGTTCTTTGCATTGGCCATAATGTAAGAAAATTTCCTTCGTGAATAAATGTTAATAAATCGCGCTCTGCCTCTACGCTCCCCATTCCGAGATTATTCCAGGAATATTTCGCACCGTGCTGAAGATTCTCATTCATGATATTACAACTTGAAACGGGTTTACGATACACGAGTACAAGAACGCCCACGTTTGCACTTCGAGCGCACGTACACGAGTTCCCCGATGAAATAAGGAAACGCAATAACGTAATTTATTTACGAAACAAATGTTGACGAAAGCCCCTAGGAGAAACTGGAACGTTATAAAAGTATGCAAAATATCACAAAAATTCTTTTCCCGAACAAATACACACGTAGTTTAAAACACTACTGAGGCCACTATTTTTCAGGTAAAACTAACTCAACTTAATTGTATAATTCATTATTAATTATCTTCGAGTAAATATTTTACCCATCTTCGGTGTCTTTAGTATGTTGTACTTATTATAATTAGATCTTTATGAAGCACTCCCTCATGGGTAATTTTAAAAACATTTTTTTTTCTATGTTATAAAAAATCTCTGAAGCACCCCTCGAAACGTGTTATTTTTACGTTTCGATTAAATTAAAGAACGATACGTGTTATGTAATATTAACCCTGATCCTATCGAGATTTGATTTTTAATGAGTAAAGTAAGGTTTGTAGGGTTTGTATGTAGTACATGATATATTACTTGTACATAAATTTTTAAAATGTTATTAAAATTCACCTCCCAATAGGATCAGGGTTCAAAGAAAATAGAGCTGTTTTAAAACAGCTACCTGATTGCGAACACCTATAATCTGGATCGTGTTTCAGTTTTCTAAAATCCATAAACTTGAAGAATTCTTAATTAGACAGTTCTTTATCTATAAAATTTGTTTTACGTGTGAAACTTTTTTAATTTTGATGGTAAATTAAACATGATCTCTAATCATTCTTTAGAAACTAGTTTCCATTATTGTACAAAAATATGTACATATATAACCACTCATTAAATTGTAATAAAATGTAAGAAATATAGTGGATCTCAAATACACGTTAATTTTCTGTGCTTCTTGTCATTTGTGCTTCAAAATGTCCGAAAAATTCTTATACCAATATAATTAAAAATGTCTGACAATTAAGGTATACGTAAATTATAATTCAATATAAAATTAAAACAACAATTCCAGTACAATCTCTGCGTATGCATTTTCTTTTTTCCAGTTAAATCATTCGGTTTTTGCTTTAAATAATTCAGATTTAAAAATAATGAAATGCGGTTTCTCGCAATCGGATGGCTGTCTTAAAACGGGCAACCGGAGACGGGCAAAATTCTCATCCGGATAAAAATTTCAAACAATGAAAAACAGTGGCTCGTTAAACAAGGCTAAAAGTTTCAATTATAGAATCGAATATATGACAGCGAACGGATAAAAAATTTAACCGTTTGATCGATTAACCGTCGCGAATGAGTGTCTACACAGTTGGTTTTATTGCTTATCTATTATTCAAATAAAATTTTGCCCAACGCCAGCGCCGGATGATTCGACGTGTAATCTAAAACGCCAATTTAAACGGAGAATTCGACAAACCGCGTAAAAAACCTTGCACCGCGAGCGATGTAACGCCGTTGGCTTCCAGCGAAGATCCGTTAGGAAGATTAATTGGAATCCTCTCTCTCTTCCTCTTTTTAGCTTTTAAAATACACTGCCGCCTCGTAGCGAGTCACGAGACCTTTAAAAGCACCAAACGATCACGAATCTTCGTAAATCCTTTTTTGTGTATCGCACAATACACGCTGAAGAGCCAGAAAGAATGCTTTCGATGAATTTTCGGCTCCTCGTTGGTGATCACAATTTTTTTAAATTGTTATTTCCTTATTGTATTATCGTTTGTTTATACGACAGTAAGAAATAGTAGATCTCCACTTTTCTCGAAATAGAGAAACCGAATTTTGTCCACTAACACATTTGTTCATTGCAATTATGTATTAATAATACAACAACAATATGAAAAGATTTCAGAGAATTTTATGGGCTACAAACTTGTACACTTGTTTCACGACAAACAGAAGCATCGAATTTTTATTATTCCCCAAAATATTTAAATCTCCGTTTGTTAAAATATATTGTGCTAATTTAATATGTAAATGAGCGTTGTAAAGAAATATAAATTAGAAGCATCGTTGATTGGGTTTGTGTCGAAATTGGGAGCATTGTACCCGAATAGATAGCTATCACTGTCACGGAATTGGTGGAGGAAAATACGGATTTCTGTCGCGAACATCGAAAGCATTCCTTGTTGGCAGTGTCTCCAGAAAAATGCAGGGAACAAACTCGATACACTACCCGACGTTGAAGCGTTCGATGGACGCACGGATGAATATCGAAAGAGCGAAGAATCGCGAACGACGGATAAGAAGTAGAACACTCCGAGCACCGGTTCGCAGAGAACTGAGGACGGAAGAGGCTCGAACGACGCGGTCGACCTGTTGGGGCCCTGCACCGGGCCCTCAGTGGTGGGGATAGCCCCAACGTTTCAGCAGCCCTCGAGGTACGACTGGATCGTCGCAGGGCTGCCCGTTGCCTGCTGTCAGAGAACCTAAACGAGTGACTTCTGCACGCAGAGTTATTATCACGTGCACGTTATTATCGTTATTATTTGCCTGGCGTTTTCACTGGCCCCGCGTCCTCGAGGAACCGAACAATAGGAATCGTTTTATATTTTTCAGACCATTGTTAACGCGCTGTCGACCGCTGACGTATCAATTCGTCCGTCATCGCTGGATCGTCTCCGTCCAGAAACGAGAATCCGTGTTTGTGTTTCACGATAGATTTATGGAACTTGTCAATCTGATATATTTCGGGGAGTATTTTTAGAGTCTTATTTTCTTTGATCTTTTTAGAGAGTTTTTTTTATCGAAATTGTATTTCAGGTTGTCACATAATTACTGTAATTCTTAGCTAAAGAGACGATGTTCGAGTGTAAAAGTTAATTTCTTAAAATCAAGAAGTTTTTTTTTAAATAAGTCCTTACAAAAAGGCTCAATCCGACTGCCAGGTCCCCTTAAATCCAACACTTTGAAATTCTTCGGCTCGAACGTTTCGAACGGACGGTAAATTCTTGCAATAGAAAACTAATCGTCTCCGCGTTATTTCGAGGCTCTCTATTTTAACAAACAGATCGCGAATCACCGTCGACCCAACCTGTGATCTTCGTTGCAGCTAATTCCTAACGTCAATACAATATACGTTATCAGTGTCGTGAGATTCTTCTAATTCACGATCCTCTCGAGAGCTCCTCGATCTCCTCGATCCCTCGCCAAGCCTTTATCGCGAGTCGAAAGTGGCGAGGCGCGGTGCCAACCGACGGGGTCGCTCCAGTCAATCCTCTCCCAATAAGCTTCTGAAATTCTGTACCCTCCCGAAAGGAAGCGAAATTCGAAGGCTGGAAGGGAGGAATCCAAGAAGAGGCGGGCGGAAAAGGACGAGAAACGATCGGGAATGGAAGAAGAGCAGAGGAGCCTGGACTTGAATAATGCACGACGCCCGTATATCATCGGTCGGACTGTTCGTGTCATTGGACTTTCGACAACTGGAGGAATCGGCTCACGCGAATTCCTTATCCCTTTCCCCCCGTTGTCTGTCCAACGTCTGTTAGGGAAAAACGATGAGAGAAGGTCTTAATGAAATTTTTCACGAGGCGCGCCCAAACACTTTCGACGTCGGCCATTCGTGACCCAAATAGCGTGTCGAATCGTACGTCCCCGCTAACGAATCGATGTTTAATCACGGGGGTATTCTAATCTAGAATCCATTTGGTCTTTTTAGGGATCTCTTTCAACGTAAATTGCCAACGAATAATATTTACGAGTTCGTAACTGCAAAGGAGTGTTCTACCATAGAACGCAATTTTGTAGTGGTTCTTTGGAATTTTTTTAGGAGAAAAGGTGAAACATTTTTGTATTAAGTTTCGATGCGTATAATTAGGACTATGTTTAAGGAACACCTACAATTTTTTCTACAGAGAAATATTCGATATTTTAGAAATTGTGGTATGTTTAGTCCTTCAAAAAAAGTACCCCTATGGTTGCTACAATTTAAGTTCAAAGAATCTATTTTCTGTGGTAAAAAAAAATAGTAAAAGGTCACGATTCGTTGTGTAAATAGTGGATTTAAATCATGGCAGTGCAAACATTTTATAGAGCGATCAATAATGATAACAATATACTAAAAGATAACTAGGGAATATAGTTTTATTGAGTTTTTTTTAAATATTTGAAAATCCATTGAATTAAATATATTTTCGTACCTCGTTGCGTTTCCAAATTTGTAAACAAAAATGATTTAAAAATAAAGATATCGTTATGACAACCTGAAGGACAGAAACAGCAATCTGAGGATCACGCGTTTTAAAAGTGGAAAAACTGAGACGAGCTTCCTTCCTGTGAAAATATGTTGGGCCACTTCCGCTAATGTGACTGTGCAAAGATAATAGCGCGGAAGCTGTCCAAGTAGAACTTTGTGTTTTAATAGGTTAACGAGTTTCGAGTAAAAATAACATCTTGGCGACGTTTCTGGGTACGTATCGGGTAAAATCGAGCTTCTTCCGCCTATAATATTCCCTGGACAGTAGACAAGAGGCAATAAAGTCTATGCGGTGCATTTAGTAGGACAATAAATATCGATATAGGAGAGAAACACGACAGCGTACCGATGGCTTTGTGAATTTAAGTGCCACGATATTTATGCACCTACAAATTACACGGGAAATGTTCGAAACACCCTCTCTACATACACACGGTATACTAAAATTGATGATCCGTATTATGAATGCATACAACATTCATCAAAATAAGCAAATAATCTAAAACACGAATCTATAGAGGAACATCTTCCAAGGTACAAAGAAAAATTTTATTTTTAAAAAATTCTGATCGGTCTCTCGGTCCACAGGGAATATTTATGTTCGCTGGGATAATAGTGGGCCTCTTTCTGAATAAAAATAATCTTTCTTTCGTTTTATACAAATCTCGAACTGAAAGACATCGCCAGAAATGGGCAAATTCTTTTCAAGAAACAAAGGAATCTGAAATATTACACAATTCTCGTTCTCACATCAACAATAAATGAAAACATAATGAAACTTAGTTTTTTTAAAGGAAATTAATATATATAATATGATCTAAATTTTATTTGATTTTGGTTGAAATAGATCATTTAAATTGTAACTATCGTTTAAATCTAAGTAACTATTAGTATAAAGATAGTCTTGTGAGAATTTATTCAACGTTTCTAGAGAATATCACAGTTCCTTCCCTCTTTATGAGATACGTCCTTTCTGCGTGATAAATACGACAACTAATCCTCTTAAACTTTTCAGGTCTTATTTTAGATGCATAAATCGATAGACAGTGTTTAATCTCACCGTAAATTCGAGAGGTACTATAACTTTCGAAGCGTACGACGCAAGTAAACTCATTATAATTCAACCGTTCCCCAACCTAAGAATCTTATCAATGCTGCAGTTAATTTTATCTTCCGAAACATTTTCTAACAATTTTTTGATTATACGTTATATAACAGCGATTCACTTTGCTCGTACAAAATGAGAAACGTGTATATATAAGGATAGACACGTACACCATCGATGCAAATTAATTTTAAGTTATTACTTTACCGTGTATTTTATAACGATCGTATAAAATTGGAAATAAATACGGAATGAGTATGTAAAATGAAAGAACGATTCGTGGAAAATGTAATAACAAAAAGGTTGGAATGAAATTAATGGAGAAGCCCGAAAAGAAACAAATGAAATTCTCTTATTAATTTGAACGACTGTTTTTAAACGAGAATAATAGAAAAAAAAAAAACTTAATTTTTTGCTAACATTTTGATAAAATTCATTACAACATTTCCTTTGTAATATAGTTAATGAAGTTACTTTCATTTTGTAATTTACAATATTATTTGGGCAAATAAAGATAACGAGTGTCCCCTGTAATTTTTTAACGGTATTTTGTATTTGCACCGAAATGGTTTCCTGGCTAATAAGTTCGGTGGGTATCGTTCGCTTTTACGGGCAGTTGCGATATTTGCTAAATCATTTTCGGTGTGCAGGTGTTCGTCGACCGAAAAGAGGGTTCGGGGCAGTTTTTCACGAATCTTGAACGAGAGACCCACGTGGCCTATCGAGCTTATGGTGGGCCCTGCAGGCAGCAGGTGGTAGCTGTAGATTCACCTGGACCTTTCGGATTTGAGGCGTTTCCGAGTTCATAAATAACAAATTTCCCCCCGCGGTTGTCTTCTGAAAAAATTCCAACTCTCGTTCGCGAGCCTTTGCAACCTATCGATATTAGTCCATTTGCAAAATTTTGTATTTCACCATGGTGTAATTTCATGATAAAATATTGAAATATATAATATTTCGTAATATGATTTGATGTCATAATATTATATGATTTTCAATATTGTACATTTTACAATGTTTTCGTTGTCGTATCGATTAATCTATTAATTACACCAAAAGTAAAGCTTTGAGAATTAATAAGTATTCCTCTGTGTACGCCGTGGATTGAGAAACTTTGAAACGATTTCCATAGAATACGTCTGATTATAAAAATCTACAAAGTTCGGGAATGGTTATTAACCTGCCATGAAATTAAATAAATCCTGAAAAAGTTTCCCCTTTCTGGT